TTGTTGTTCGTGAAGAAGATGCATCTACCCGTTTTTGCAGCTCATAGACCCGAGACTATATCTGATGAAGATTGGAATTTCGAGCACCAACAAGTATGTGGATATATACGATAATGGGTTGAAGATAATGTTCGCAACTATTTTATGAATGAGACACATGCGAGATCATTGTGGGAAAAGCTAGAGACTCTTTATGCTTCAAAAACTGGGAACAACAAGTTGTTCCTACTAAAGCAATTGATGACATTTAAATACAAGAAAGGCAGCCCTATCCTTGATCATATAAATGATTTTCAGGGCGTCCTTGATCAGCTGTCTGGAATATGAGTTAATTTTGATGATGAGATACAAGGACTTTGGCTTTTTAATACTCTGCCAGACTCTTGGGAAACTCTTCGTGTTTCTTTGACAAATTCAGCTCCTGGAGGTAAGGTGACCATGGAATATGCCAAGAGTGGTGTGTTGAATGAGGAAGTAAGGAGAAAATCTCAGGGTTCGTCCTCACAAGCAGATATCTTGGTTACAGAATACCTGGGGAGAGATAGAACAAGAAGCTCGAGGAATAGAGGTAAAAGTAGAACTAAGTCAACGTCCAAATACCATAATATTACATGCAACCACTGTGGCAAGAAAGAACACATCAAAAGGTTTTGTCACAAGTTGAAGTAAGACACTAGAGAAGGAAAGAAAGCTAAAAATAACGAGAACAATATTGCTGCTATTGTTCGAGATGACCTTCTTTTTGCTTATGATGAAAACGTCATCAATTTGGTATCCCATGAGATGAGCTGGATAGTAGATTCTGGAGCTACCTCACATGTCACACCAAGAAAAGACTTTTTCTCATCTTATACTCCTGTTGATTCTGGAGTGTTAAAGATGAGCAATGCTAGGGAAGTTAAGGTGTTTGGTGTTGGCACAGTTTGTTTGAAAACTAATAATGGTTCAACGTTAGTTCTTCAAGATGTCAAGCATACTCCATACTTTCCTTTCAATTTGATCTCCGCAGGAAGATTAGACGATGAAGGTTACCATAATGCCCTCTTTAGTGGACAATGGAAGCTTACCAAGGTCTCGTTAGTAGTGGCTCGAGGAGTCAAGTCTGGTCATTTATATGTGACACGGGGATCTATTCTTAATAACTCCATAAATCTGGTGGAAAGTGACATTTTATCAGAATTGTGGCATAGAAGATTGAGTCATATGAGTGAGAGGTAAATTACATGGTTGGCTAAGAAAAGTTTACTTTATGGAGTGAAACAAGCAAAGTTGAAAAGATGTATCCATTGTTTAGCTCGAAAACAGAAAAGGGTTTCCTTTCATAGCCATCCTCCCTCAAGAAAGCGAGATTTATTGGAGTTAGTACACTCTGATTTGTGTGGTCCTTTTAAAGTAAAGTCAAAAGGTGGTGTACTTTACTTTGTGACCTTCATTAATGATCATTCTCGTAAGCTTTGGGTGTATCCTTTGAAATCTAAAGATCAAGCACTTGGCGTGTTTAAGGAATTTCAGGCCTTAGCTGAGAGACAGGCGGGGAAGAAATTAAAATGTATTCGCACTGACAATGATGGTGAATATTGTGGTCCCTTTAATAACTATTGCAAGGAACAAGGAATTCGTCATCAGAAAATATCGCCCAAGACGCCTCAATTGAATGGTTTGGCAGAGAGGAAGAATAGAACTCTAGTTGAAAGAGTTAGATGCTTGCTTTCAGAGGATAAACTTCCAAATACATTTTGGGCGGAAGCACTTAACACTGTTGCCTATGTTATCAATTTGTCTCCTGCTGTTGCTTTGGATGGTGATGTCCGAGACAGAGTTTGGTTTGCCAAAGATGTTTCTTATGATCACCTGAGAGTTTTTGGGTGTAAAGCCTGTGTGCATGTTCCTAAAGATGAGAGATCGAAACTGGATGTCAAAACTAAGTTGTGCATCTTTATCGGTTATGGTCAAACTTCTTTCATTCGCTTTCTTGTTTTTGGCTCAAGCAGTAGGTCCTTCGACCCTCAAAGCAATACGGTATGCTCCTTCTATGCAAGATGAGTTTGGGTATCGTTTTTATGATCCAGTTGACAATAAACTTATTAGAAGTCGTGATGTAATATTCTTTGAAGACCAGACTATTGAAGATATTGACAAAGCTGAGTTTTGACATCCAGTTTCGATCTCTCATCTTTAGGAACATGCACACATGCTTTACAATTTGTACTAATGCGTGTGGAGGAGAGGGGGGTGAGTCGAGGTGGCTATTGTTGTGATAGTTATAGAACCTGTTTGGCCAAGTTTTTGCGAAGCCAAAAGTATTTTTTTTTTCCTTCAAAAAAATATTAGAGAACGGAAGTGTTTGGCCAAGCTTTTATGACAAAAATAAGTGCTTTTGACTTTTGAGCAACAACAGAAACTAAAAAAGGTAGATTTTTCTCAAAAGTACTTTTAGAACCTTGGCCAAGCACAAATTGCTACTCCAATATTGGCAAAGGTGCTTTTTAAATTGATTAGTCAAACACAAATAAATTTTCTTTCTTTTTGAAAGTATTTTTGATAAAAAAAATATATTTCAAAATAAATAACTTTTGGAAGCTTGGCCAAACATACTAATAATCTGCCGGGCAAAGAAGAGTAATAAATAAGTACTAGTGTTCTACTGATAACCTACTACTTTCCATCAACATAAGTACTAGTGTTTTTTGAGTTTTGTGTTTCTCAACAAAAGAATGCTCATTAAACAACACTCAAACAAAATGCACATCGTGCATAGTGAAAAAATTGAGTACGTATATTTTCAAACAAACCAGTTACACTAAGACCCACAAAAAACACGTATGGATTCAAGAAAAGGATCAAACACACTCTTTTCATAAGTCACCGCTCGATGCTTGTTGGGAAAAAAAGTATTGGGTATGGGTTTTATAAAAAGGGTTTTTTTACCATTTCTTTTCGGATTCAGCAATTTTAAAACTTTAAAATAAGCATCACGTGCTCATCAAAAGATATACAAACATGCGGTATGCCAAAATGGACATGAGCGTTTAGAAATTACACCTGGGACGAGTTGAAGTGCCTATCTGGTCACTATGTAAGTTCATGTCTATTTTACAAAACATGCCAAGTTTAAGGGGCTATCTAGGTATTTGGCCAAAGAAAAGGATATCGCATTTACTCATTACTCCTTTATAGCTTTCTTCACTTCTAGCCGAGCATAATGCTAGTCTAAATCCGCTCTATCAACTATTCTACTGGGTAGTTGTGAGCTTGTGCTCAATTACTGTTCTACTGAGAACCTGCTACTTTCCATTAACATAAGTACTAGTGTTTTTTTGGTTTCTATCGGAGTTTGCACCCACATCAGTAACCACTAGGCCATACGTGCAAATGGTTGAGCTACTTCTAAGATCATATCCAGCTTTTCAGCCACAAAACACCCATGTTAATATATAAGCTGATTCAGTTATTACCTGCTCACATCTTGACCACTTTGACCGCAACATAGTGAAAAACACCTCTTAACAACATTATTTGGGAGCTCATTCCACTGAATGTTTTCCGATGTTATTCTCAAACAGAAAATAACTTGTTACATACCATTCTATCAACAACTAACTGCCCCAGTTTAGCCAAAACAGTTAATTAAACAAAATCAGGAACTTCAGTAAGAATGTTAAGTTTAAATAGCATATTAATCTGTCACAGTAATTAGAACCCAATATAATACATCACCATCTGCCTGGGGTATCTATAGAATCAAAACTTGTTCACAATTTCAAAAATAGAGTACAGTTGCTCCATCAGTGGACCTCAAGAAAAACCAGGAGCAAAAGAATCTGCAAATCAAGATGGTTTTGCCACTTCATTTTTTTCATAGATACGCTGAAGCTCTCGACTAGCAGCTTGATAGGAAGCTGAATACAAGACAAAGAAACGAGTGTGTTAAAATAGAATAGTAGTAAAGAGGTGGTGAAATTGGTTAATGAGTGAAATAGGTAACACAGGACACATTGGCTAATTAAACGGGTCTAGCTATAAATGGGGGGAAATAAGTGCAGCTTTCACATACTTATCCAAACCCGTTAGAACACGTGATACTTTTGTCATACATTTATCACACACTAATCAATTTTACCACCTCAAACTAGAAGGAATAAACAAGTAATAAAAAATTGCGTCTTTACGGGCACTTATGGAGAAGCAGAGTATTCACCTTTCCAAGTTTGAAAGTTTTTCTGGTTGATAGGAGAACCAGTGATATTTTGAATTGCTTCAAACAGCTTTTCCTGAGGGATATTCTTTAACTCCTGGACCACGGCATAAATTGTCTTCCCATTCTCGAAGTAAATATGATTGTTAGGATGTTTGGTCTTGCAAGCAGCATGACGCTCAAATTCAAAAGCATTTAGATTCTGCGTAAAAAACATTAATGCCCCCTTAGACATGAAATTTTGAGGAAGGATCTTGGCTGAATTGCCGAGAACATATAATAGAACACTAAAAGATCTTGCCTTGGACAGCTTGCAGTCATTGCAGCCACACAGGTAACCAGTCCCTTTAATAATTCCTCGAACAGTTTTCTGCATGTATGCATGTAAAACATACTCAGAAGAAAAACCTCTAAACATCACGGAAGAATTCAAGAATCAAAACGTACCTCCCTTGACCACGAGACATACTTCACAGGCACTCCATCAAGTATACCAGTTGACAATAAACTTTTAACATTGGATGGGAAATTGTTCGGGGAACTCTTAGGTGTCTTCTGCACCTTCTGCTTGGACACGTTTTCTGTTCTGACAGTAGTTTCTGGAGCAACAATCTCAATTTGATCTGCAGAATGCTCCACTGTACTTCTCTCTGTCAGTGATTCTGAAGCTTCAAGAGAGGATTCACTTATCAACAAGTCATAGCTGCTGATGACCTTGTCAGAAAGATTATTTCCTCCATGCTCTTGCTGAATCTCCCCAAAAGATATGGTGGCTCTTTCACCCCTACTCATTGATATGAAGCTTGAATTTTCTTTGCTGCAAGTACCAGTTGATATGACAGCTTCTACCACTTTATCAGGAGTTGGGCACCTAAAGGCAATACCAATATCTGCATTACCAGTCAGACCCACAGGCATGAAGTTTTCATTAGCTTTACTATAAGAAGGGAACATAGAAAGGAAATTCTCATGCGCCTTGCCATAAGATGGTATTGGCATAAAATTTTCATTTTCCATGTATGGCTGATTTTCTGTTCTGTAATAGCCGTTTCCTTTGTCTAATGATTGATCCATAAGATACAGACTGCAGTCACCCCTGCCGTACTGATGACCCATTAGCATGCGATTTCCATTCACCTTGTTGACTGTATTGCCTATAGGAGTGGTGGTTTGTTCGCCCTCTGCGAAATCGTGCCCCATTGAAATGACATTTCCAATTCCAGCACTATATGTTAGTCCTAGCGCTGTAGCATTTATGCTATCTTCTCCAATATTTGAAGAGTTCCGCAAAGAAAAAGGATAACCACTTGTATATTCATTTGCAAGATTGACCCTGGCTTCTCTAGTTCCAGCATTCTGATAAACAGGATCTTCCCCAGCATGAGACATTGATAAATTCACAGTTGAATTATTTTGAAGAAGATTCATGAAATGGTTTCTTTCTGTTTTCACATTTTCATTGCCTGAAGAGAAGACGTTTGTATCCCCAAAGCTGAATGTGTCTAGAGGCTCAGGTGCACGTGATCGATCACTAGAATGAAGTGGGGCAGACTGAGAATTAAATGCATTACCCCAGAAGGAAAAGTTCAGACTTGCATGTGTTGAAATTGGTTTATCGCTGACAGACTGCAGAGCTTGTTTCTTATTGGAGAATAACTCCCCTTCAGAAGCATCCATAAAAAATTGATGAGCACGCTTCTGTTCAATCCTCAACGAAGTCTCGCCGCCCATCTCTCCATCAGTTAGAGTACCATTGTCTTTTAGCACCCAAAGGCCCTTATTCTGTAAAGACTGGGAAGATCACATAACAATTGTCAACGAGGGGAAAAGAAATAATTCAGGTTGTAATAGTAAAAGGAGTTCTCTTCTCCTTGCTCTCCATATCTGAGCAGAGGAATGAGTACGAAGCAATTTGGAAGGCAAGTGACCAACTTCAGGATAAATAATGAGGATATGATAGTCATATGCAGAAAGCCTAATCAATATGCATGAGTTTGTTTTCTTTAACTTCTGTGTTTGCTTGGGAGGAAAATAGATTACCTAAAAGAGAAAGATCGCTAGCAAAGTCAGTTGTAACTATTTAAAAGATGGGAAAAGGGTCGAAAATACACCTGCATTTATGAAATTGCTCATGTTTACCACTTTTATAGTTGGGTCTATTCAAACTCCCCACCCCCCCAAAAGAAAAAAATCTCAATTTTTCCTTCCCGCTTAATGATCCTCTGGCTGAATTTTTTAATTCGCTTTTGCTGATGTGTCCGTCAATGTGGATACTTCTGTCCCCTTCATTAATTTCCGCTTATCTTCTTCGTCAATTAGGTCTCCGGCCAACTCTTCCAAGTTGGAGTTCTCCATCAATTAATTTCCTTTCCCTTTCTTCTTCTTTTGAAAGTTAGGATTTAGGGTTGAAATAAATTTTTCAATGTCTGAAGGAGTGTGTTACCACGTGAAATCCGGTATGCCAACGTGAAATCTGGTATGCCAGGAGATGCCATTTTGGTAAAGAAAATGCCTTAGACAACTCCATCATCTATCTCAACAATCAGATAACCCCCGCCAAAATATGAATGGAAACCCCTTCAACCAAAGAGTACTCTGGCGACTCCACTTACCACCAATCCAAATAATCATCCCAAGCCGAAACAGGAAATATGTGGATCGAGATCTCACTAACCGACAACTCAAACAAGAGAATTTTTATCCAAAATTCTCAAATCCGAGAAAGGAAAAGCCAATCTGCACTCAGGCAGAACCATTCGATTCGAATCATCCTTAGCCGAGGAGCTCAGCACCATTTGTAAAAATCTTGAGAAGCTAAGAATCGATAGAGAGAAGACGGAGAAGATGCTCAAGGAAAGGAATCTGCGGCTGGATTTGCAGATAAAAGAGCTGCTAAACAAAGGGGAGCTGCAAAAGCAGCTTGAGCTTGAAGTTGATCGGCTTTTCCAATTGAAAAAGTTCAGATTATCCTGCACGGTAACTCTATTTTTGTTCTGATTGTTTTCAATAGATTTTATTTTGATCAAAACTGGGAAGAAAAAAAAAATTCAAATCTTTGTTTGAAATAAAAATAAGTAAATTTCAAAGATTTAATTAAGTCTCAAAGGAAAAAGACTTGTTTAAGCAAATCATTTGACAAGCTCTTGGCATACGGGAATTGAGGTGCTGACACATGTCCTTCAGATATTGAAAAAAACTCAACGCTAAACCCTTACTTTCAAACGAAGGGAGATGAAATTAATTGATGAAAAACCCTCACTTGGAAGTGTTGGCCAGAACGATATTGATGAAAAATGGCAAGGCAAAATTAATAGAGGAGATAAGTATCCACATTGGCAGACGCATCAGCAAAAAGTGAATAAAAACAACTGAAAGATCATTAATTGTAAAGGGTCTAATTGAGACTTTTTCCTATCAGCAGGGGTTTGGATAGACCTCAAGTATAATGGAGGATAAACTTGAGCAAGTTTTTATAGCACATCGGTATTTATGACCCTTCTTCCTTAAACTATATAGATTAAAAAGCTAGGTAATCCTCAGCTGCTGTCTTTTGGAAATTAAAGCGCATATCTAAAGACCAGTTCAAAGAATATGATCAGGAATGCAATCTGATATATTAATAGGTTATCAAGTCACAATACGTCCTACTTGGCAAGTCGAAGACAATAGGTATAGTACTTTCAAAAGGAAAAGCAGGAAAAAGTTATTGTAGAGACCACTTAAGGTATAAGGGCAAAAATATAGCTATGAAGTACACCTACGGGTATCAGTTAATAAAATTTGAAAACAATACCAATCTGACATACACATTTTTGTATTATTAGCATGATATTATTGCATTTATATCCAGAAGAATGGCTATTACTTTTTCTTTTTTTTTGATAAGTAAATGGCTATTACTTGTTTAACAAAACAAGTGTCTTCATTAATGCATCCGTGGCATAAAATTACGGATGTTGGTAACAAGATTATGTTAGTTTTGCTCCTTTCCCTATACGTTTGAGAAACATGCATGCATTTCATGACTAATAAGGCACTCCTTTAGTTATCTTTCCTAATTTCTCTTCTCATCTTGAATATTGGAGCATTATTTGGAAAACTTTAGACTGACTTATCAAAAAACCTGAATGGAAATAGCCTGCAATAGCGCTTAAAACTTTCTCTGAAAAATAAAATTCCTAATTGGGAAAAGGAAAAAAATCTAAACACAAATGGCTAGATACGAGTGATAAAGCTACCCGCTTTAATAATTGAACCAACTAAATTCTAGTACACTAAATATAACACGGATATAGAAATAGTTACCAGAAAGAGAGCGAGAAGATAAATGCATCTCATCAGGTGCATCTGCTGACTGAACAAATATATATCGAACAAACAAGATGAGATCAATGAAGTA